TGCGGGGGTGGTGAACAGTGAGTGCCCTGTGGTAGAACCATGTAGAGGGCCTTTCGGGGTGAACGACAACATCGCGTGCTAAGGCAGGTGGCTTCCCTTTCTGCTACGACCTTTGACCCCATATGTGCACTGTGCACCAACTTTGCAGGGTTTGAAGCAAGCGATGGCGCAGTTCGGCGACGAAAGGGGGGGGGGAGCATTTTGCACTTTTGCCACTTTCCACCGACGTGTCGAGCCATCGAGAGAGCCTCACGAGAGTTGACAGGTTTTATCATGGTGGCTGGACGAGCTTGCTCCAGCTACACAAGAGTTCACAGGTTTCACCAGAGTGAGACTTGTAAACCGGAACTAGTGAAGCTGCGAAAGTGCAAAATGTCCCCCCCCCCCGTCGCCAAACAGCGCCGAAAGCGATTTTCACCGGTACTTCAGTCTGATAAAGCGTCTGTAACACTCTTGGAAGGCTAGAAATTCATAATACACAGTACTAGGTATATTACACCGAGATTAGTTGGAAGCCGATCATTAATATTCTGAAATAGTGCCAGTTTCTTGTGCCTCTGAATAGACTATCTTGTGGGACGAAGAAGCCCACGCCCTTCAAAAACAACATTTTGGAGAGTTTCCGGAAGTGTAGTAGAGGCCGTGACTGCAGATTGTGAATGCAGCAAGGAATCGCACCGAGAGCCCCCTTTTGAGGGTTGCACTACTCCCACTTAGGCTGCGTTAATACTCTGCTGCAGCGTTCACTAGCAACCGCCAGCGTCAGCGACTCGAAAAGTATAGATATCAATCTAGCGAAGAGCAGCGTCTACCAGCGTCCACCAGCGTACGCCAGCGATCATCAGCATCTCGTGGGACTGACAACGTTGGATATAGATCTAGAGTCTACCAGAGTCCGCCAGCGATCAGGATTAGATGGTATGGGGTAGGAGGTTAGCAGACTGCTGGTAGAGTATGGGGAAGTAGGAGGGAGCAGACAGCTGGATTAGGCGTCGTGAAATTGTGGCGTGTGCAACCGTACCGCACTACTACACAATACCGCACTCGTGGACGCTGGTGATCCCAGGTGGACGCTGGTAGACGTTAGATTCACATAATACCGTACTCCTGGACACTAGTGGTCGCAGGTGGACGACCACCAGCGTTCAGGAGTTCAGTACTGTACACTGCCTCACAGTTTCGTGGGCCTCCAGAGTTCCTACGTATCACAGTAGTTCCATACTGTACACTGCCTCACAGTTTCGTGGGCCTCCCAGAAAAACAAAAAAGTGTCTTCGCGACAAAAATGCGGTCGTGAATAGAAATGGTTTGTTTATTCGGTTCATTTTGGAAAAAAATATTACAAATGGGTTACGTTGTTAGCCTGCAACACTTGACTCGAAGACAATCAAAATCACCAAGCTGTGGAACGCTAGCACAATTGGATTGGTTGTGGGGAAAACGAAAACAAAACGTTCAAGACGAGATCCATGAGCAATTGAGAAGAGATTGCGTGGGACAACTGAGCTGAAGAAGGTGGCCGAATCGATTCGATGAACCCAGATATGTACCCATGTTACCCGCATAAGATTATAGATCTTACAAATGGAAAGTTAACATATACGCTCATCAAGTGGAAAGAACAGAAGAACTGCTAAATCGTTTCAATTCACAGATAGTCAGTGAGGCAACTGCCACTCGCACTAACAAATCTGCCAAAGCTCTGAATCATAGAAGTGCCTGAATAAGGGGTCTTCCAGTCTTTAAAGAGAACGTATGGCTACGCAACGTTTGTGCTCGCTTTGAGGAGAAAGCGGCACCGAGCTAAACTTCGTTCTTGCTTTGAGTAACGTCCGAGCTGTCAGCTGATTCCCATCTGAGGCGTACCTTGCTTTGGACGAAGAGTCCACTGGGGAACAGCACAGTATTCGCAGTTGTTCCTAAAAATTTTTTATTCGCAACATCATTTTTATTTTGACTATGGCTCGGTTTATTACTTTTGGAAGGCCTACACCATTGATCCCCTTGTGAATCTGGTGTCTGTCTGGTGGACCTTTCCAAGGAAGGTCCTTTTCATGGGCTAGGTGAATGGGTCTGCAGCTGCAGTGGCGTCTCTCTTTCTTCGTAAAAAAAGCATGAGAATGAAGCCTCAGGGTGGTGATATTCGGCTGCCGTTTCAACACTCCGTCTGCGGTATCCTACACGTGCTTCCGTTTTAGCAAGATTTTAGCAAGATTTTTTAGCAAGATCCCGTAGCGAAACACACACTCAGACGAACAACTAGAAGTGCGAAGGCGACTAACTTAGGCATGTGGATGGTCGTGCTGCAGCACGGGCGAAGTGTGGAGAAGGCACTCGAGTGCCAGTACCCTCCAGCTCCGTTGAGGTGCACTTTTGAGCGGAGAAAGTGGCACGCTTAGGGTACGCCATCGTTAGGTACTACTGGACTCGATAATTTGGCGCAAAAATTTTTTTGATAGTTGAGTTTTCTTGTTTCACGGATGCTATAAAGGGGGGGGGTCATATTTGGTAGTCGTTTGGAGAGGGGGCCGTTTTTGTCTTCGAGAGGAAATTATGCGTTGGGACAAGTTTATTCCCGGTTGCTGACCTTTGCGGTTTTTTCCCGTTTTCGACTGATACTTGGTGCACTGCCAAGACAATATTTCCGGTATTCGAAAATAGTTGTATTGTTCCTGCCGATCTTCCTCCACCCGCTGAACAGGGAAAATTATGGGTTGAAACTAGAAACTTTCAGGAAATTATCCGACCGCGAAGGTAAACTAGAATGTCAGTCCAACTTTGTCCCGGTCCGTGCTGCGTGAAATGAAGTGGACCCCTGGCGCCTAACTGATCCTGTGAGGCCATTCATTTCACAGCAGCACGGACCGGGACAAAGGTGACTGGACATTTAGTCTTAAGAGACTCTAGTTCCAAGGTTTCACTCCTATCATTTGCAATCATATGGTGAGCAAGCATTTGCCGCCGTTATGCTCAGGATTATGTCATTTCCTGACGGCCTTATGGAACAATCACCCCAGAAGTAAGTTGGCACGTAAATTTGTCTGCGTAACACCTTACCTTGAAAGAATGAGATGTTTGGTTGACTTCCAGCAAGAGAATTAGTAGGATGCGAATAAACAGGAGCGAAGAAAACCTAAAGAACAACTAATGAGCACAGACTTAAGAAGTTGTGCCATAAGGAGTGACAAGTAAAGTTTCCACGACAGGTGAGTCGTTAACGGCTACGGAGATATCACGCCCGCTTACTCTATCCGTTACAATTTTCCCATGGATTATTTTTTTAGAAAAAGTAACAAGACGAGATTCTTCATTCCTAGTTCTCAGTAATACTCCAAGCTTAAATGATTGCCACCAGTGTATAGCATCGTGATATGTTGGTAGGTAGGTACTGGGGAAGTGAGCGCGGTACGACCCCAGGTGTAATGGGGGTCCATATGAAACAGGAAAAATCACACGAATCAACAACATGGCAAATTTCTCTCAAAGGCACATACCCCGACCCCCCTTCTCTCCCAACACCCCGCATATACGACCTCGCTCGCCAGCGGGAAAGTACGACTGCCTATGTGTTTTCGTACCCTGATCGCCACGCGTAGATGACCTACAGAGCCTGGCTGACGTGACAGGGAGACTTGAGCTGCATCCACAATAAGGACTGACCATGCAGCTTTGAAGAGTGTCGACGAAGTCAACGTTAGACAGCCAATTTCGGAGGACATCACCACACAGTTCAATTCCAATAATGGTTGTGCACCATGACCAGAAGAACAGCACCAAATGCAAAGTGACTGAGTGCAAAGCCTGAAAGACCATAACTGCATATTACTACAGGGTAACTAAATTCATGACATACCCGTTTCTGGTCTTTCCATACAATCCTCCGAATACTCACTTGCCTTTCTGAAAAGAGATTTGAAAGGCTTGTAATTACATAATGGTGTTTGCATTTGCTGTTGAATGGAATTTTCAAATGACTGAATTTTAAAAACCACTGGGAGTGATCGAATAGAACCTGCTGCAAAATGTATTTGTATTACCCCATTTTCTGAGGAATAAGGCGCATTTCACCCAGTCGCACGAGATGGCAAGCGCGAAAAGTTCGTTCACAGAGCAACAGTTTTCCTGTCTTTATTTTGCATGGCTTAATTTCCCGATTGGCTTCCAGACATCTCTTATCGCATATAAACAGAAGTAGAAAGGGAAGGTAGGGTTGGCGAAAGATTTGCGGCGTCGGAGTGAGACCTCTCCATCGGTGCGCCTTGTACTCCCAGAAATAGGGTAATAAAAGCACATTTCGCTGTTATTACAGGGGATAGGGTGGGAAGATCTGAGCGAGAGTCCGCATCACTTACAACACTCGAATGTACATCGCAAGAGTGGCAGGATCTTGTAACTCAACACAGTGCATGCCCAGTGAAGGCACAAGAAGTTCATGAGCAGCCGCGACTTCGTTATGCTGTCGCTCAACCATAGGCTTTCTGCTTCTTCTGGCTTCGCCATACATAATGTTTCTTCGCCGTATGCTCGCACGTCGTTCAAAATGAGTTGCAACGAAATCGGTCCTCGGGGCAGTTTATGTACATAAGACAAATCCGAGAAGGATGAAGGATGAATTATGCGACAAATTCCCTTCGGGTACCGCATATTCAATTTCCATTTAGAGCTCTTATACTTACCATGGCTCACCGCGGCTTTCTTATTAGTGTTTTTTATCCTTGCCTAGATGATCATCTACACTGATCATAATTGGTGGAGCGAAGCAGCCGGATGCGCGCTCATTCCGCCCCTCTTGACATCGCCCCCAGCACTGCGACGGCTCAGAGAGAGTGAGAACTGGTATGAAAAATGGAAATTCCATGAATGAATGAAGTAACAATTTTGAAGATGCGCTTCTATTGTTTTTTTTCCCGGTTCTCTTTTGTAAACTGACACCGTCTCACTCACCTGAAGCTCTGGTCGAATAAGCAACAGGGTATTCCACTCCTGGAATGAAGCAGTGTCTCAAGGGATTTAAAGGCGTTGAGAATTGAAATAAACCCACCTTTTCTTTTAAGGATGACCCATACAGTGAAATGAAGTATGAGAACAATGAAGATGATTGCGAGATTGGTGTATATCCAAAAGCGATTTGCCGATCCATTCAGGGCTAGTGGTGGATTGCAGAACATAATCTGCTTCTCTTTTACAGACAGCGCACCCCAGACCTGCAATGGTGCAAAAAATTCATTAATCGTGGCTGGCTATTCGCCCAGGTGAGATCATACTGCAATCAGAGCACGTCCTGCCGCTGGAGAGATTGGAAAATGCGACCTACTCCAAACACTTTGCTCTGATACGACCCTCTCCTTCCCTATCCTACCTAGGATTTTCCTAGTTTCAAAGATCTCCCCAACTTTCGACCACTTTTTCCGAAATCCCCAAAAAAACTTCCTTTCCTCAAAATTTTGCCGTCGAGCAGAGGCGGAGGGGGGGGGGGAAGCCAACAGCTGAAAACATTACTCTCACAACTATCACACCAAATACAAGCTTTCTCTCCAGCCCAAACACGACCCCCCTCGCTGGGGACTCCCCAACATGCGACGTGCCCTGATTGTAATATTTCACTTCAAACCCCGTTTTTTTGCCATAGATTCAACAGGAACCCGATCTTACAATTCTTCACGTAAGCTTTCCTCAAAACGTCAATGAATTCGCTAAACTGACACTTCGAGTATATTGGAGTAGAGCTCTCAAAGAGCTGTTGACGCTGACAGGCGAAATGGCTGTTCTGAGCTTGTAATCTTTATTCTGTTTATGCATTGATCGGTTTCAGCCTTCATTCGAGTGGGAAATGTACGAAAAAATGGAATTCGTTAGAAAATTCGCTGTTTCTCTCCCCTTTACGACTTAAAAAGGTGACGAATCACGCGCCTTACCCAAACATTTCTCGGACACCTTCGGGACATCAAGTCAATGATATTGAAAATGCCTAAAGTGCATTCAACCTCCTGAATAATTCCTTTTACGAAGCTCACGCAAAAACTTATTCCTAGGCGCAATGAGCTTCGGATTCCCTAACATTCAAATATTCCTGGGTAGAGATTCGGAGTCGCTACCATTCAGATGTACTCGGAATCTCTGAGATGTGGTAGGCGTGGCTGCGTACTCCATCTAAACGTGGCAGTTGCCGGGCTTTTGAAAAGATACCTTTATTTTGACACAATTGTGGCCGCGTCTCTGTCCAACACACAATACAAGATGACAGTTGTCTCGGACTGAAATATTCCACGAGTAACCCATTCTATGCCACTTCAAATGCCATACCTATCCCGTCTCAGGGATAGGGAGTGTATGTATAGTCGCGACCCCTGTAAACGATAGGACGTGTGACGGGGACATGGCCTGGAGCGCAGCCAGATCAGATTCTTTATCAGTTGTAGCGGTCTCTGAATAGCATCAGGGTTCCAAGCTGCGCTCTAGTACGCGCCGCGTCACACGCCCTATCGTTTGCATGGATCATGACGCTATTATTATGTTGGAGAATAATTTCTGGAACACGTTTAGAAATTTATCCAAGACTAGCATGTTCGGTAGTTTAGAATACTGATCTATGCAAGTTCTTCATACTCTATATGTACTATCTCCACCTTCAAACACTGACTTCTTTCCCGCTTGTGCCTCACTTCCCATTGACTGGAATAGGCGGAGGAGGGGACGAATAGTAGGTGTTTTTGTCAACAACAGCTTGTGGTGATAGAGGTAGGACCTCATTCCTCTAACCTCTATCGCCAAAAGAATGCCTTTTTTCAAACAAGCAGATCAGATTTCACGGCCAGAAATCTTGAGTATACTCCCTATCCCTGAGACGAAGTAGGCGTGGCATTCGAACATGGCACAGAACTGGTTACTCGTGGGATATTTCAATTTGAGACAACCGCCATCTTGTTCTTTGTTGGACAGAGACGTGACCACATTTGGGTCAAAATGAAAATATCTCTCCAAAAGCATAGCCACCACGACGTTTAGTTGAAGTACGCAGCCACGCCTACCTCATCTCAGGGATTTCGAGTGTAGCAGCGATCTGAATCTGAAGCTATTGAGTAACTCAGCAGTGAAGAAAAAGGTAGATGTCTCATCAGAAACGCTTCGAATGCCCTCCCCCCTCTCTTCAGTTTAAGCGTTGTCAGTATTCGACGAAGAGAGATCGCGCTTGCGGGCGAGTGATCAGGCAAGGGAGCGAGGAGAGCACAACGCAGCATCCATTCGCATCGAGATTGGCCTCATGGACGTAGATGAGTAGCTCGCTACCGGCTACCTGCACACTTTCAAGCTATGCTTCCCTGCTGGGTTGCGGAAAAGGTTACTTATGGGGGGGGGGGAGGAGTCGAGGCCTCCAATCACGAACTTCGCGTTTAAGTGTGGTAGCATGACCGAGTTGTGAGGAAGTTAGTGTCTCTTGCTAGCGAGAACACATCTCATGTACCACCGGCAATGAGTTACAAAAAGCCTGCTTTTTGATTGACTGTTTTCGTCCCAAGAAAACTGAGCCGACAGGCCTAATGGCACAGGTGAAGCGCGGTGAAGTGTAAAATAGTAATATTGCCATATGAAAACAACATCATGGAACGGATCCATCCGCACTTTTACGGATGGTATCCGGCTGAACTATTAGAATAGAATAAAAATCGTACCAAAACAATAATGGAGTAGATCCAAACAGGAATGGAAACAATGACAACATATTGAAATGGCTGGAAGAAGTGATGCCTGAAAGCCAAATTTCAAAACATTATAT